CTTGCCGGGGCGGCGCTGCCCTCCCGCGCCCTTGATCGAGGCACCACCCGGGAGAGGCGCTGCGCTTTGAAGGGCGTTTTTATAAGTAAGGAGATGAAGGAACCCAAGTAAGGCCAGGTGCTTAAAAAAAGAAGAAAAAAAAAAACACCACACACAAACACAGTTAGCAGTTCTGATTATTGCCTGAGGTTCCTTTTGCGCTCTTCCTTCCTGGAAGCCTTAGAGCTTAAGTAGAGCCAGCCAGCAACCTGTTGGTTTTTGTTTTTGTTTTCCCTAAACACCAACTTTAATGTTAAGTCTTTAAGTCCCTGTTAACAGTTTCACAGCAATGAAATTATGTGCAATCACTCACATTCCTTGTTACCCCACTAAAAAAAGTATTTTCAGTAACCATTAACCGTGCATTTCTCTTTAAATACGTATCCAAAAGAAAGATGCTTATTCTGTTTTTAGAAATAAACACAGGGAGGGTACAAATATAACTTTAACCATCAGCAGTGACAGTGTCTCAGTGGTAATGCAAAAGGCTCCTGCTGCACAACACCATTCCCAGAGGCATCCCAGCCTCCGCTAGGGCAGCTCCCAAACCCAAGGGCAAGGCCTGAGCTCCGGCACCCTGGCCCCACGTCAGGTTTGGGGCAGCTCTGCGATCCCCGCAGGCAGCGGCAGCAACAGTCCCAGGCGGCATCCAGACCTCTCACAATCTTGCAACCACAGGTTTCTGTGCAGGTATCCGAGAATCTGACAAAAATAAACACCATGGCATCAAAACTGGAAATACCCTTCCATTAAATTATTTGTTGCTCTATTTTCTCTGATCATTTTCTTTTCTGTGGTCATGGGGTTTGTAAATGGTTTCAATATAGTAAAGAAGGGATAGTCAACTACACAAGGAAAGGAATTAAAAATTCTTTTTAATTCAGATACCATTAGTATTCTTGTACTGATAACTAAGGAGATATTAGAAACAACAAACAAGTGCTAATGCCCAACTTCCTTTCTAAATGGAGAAACTCATTAAATGAGTTAGAAATCATTCAAAACACTTACCAAACATGTCCAGAATTTTATTAACAGCCTCTTGATTTATACTGTAAGAGAATCCACTGGTCCTAGAATTTAAAATAAATTCTCTTCAATTAATTTCTCACTCATTTCTATATAACCTGAATAAAATATAATTTCATAAAGTTTTTCATCCTATGAGCATCTATATCAATTTTAAGGGTCAACTCCAGCATGGCAGCCTTTTAAAGAAACTGTGCTCAAGGAGGGTGAAGGTTTCTTTTTCCTCTCTTGCTCAGATGCCCTGCCTTTCTTTTCCCTTAATTTTTATTACTAAGGCCAACTGCAGGAGGCCAAGTTTTGCTTGTTTACTTTTAAATGGATCATTTTCAAGACTATTTCTGTGAAACTGAGCCAAACCTTCAGCTGGTGTCAAAATCAGGGAGCTCAGCTAATTATTCAGTTTACTTGAAAGGGAAATTTAGCTCTAGGCATGTATTTAGCACACTGGCAAAGCAGGAGACATAACAAGAGCACCTTGCCTGTGTGCTTTCCAAGAGCACTACAAACCTTAGCCTGAGATAAGAAAGTCAGTCAAGGTTTCAGTCTGCCAATGAAGTTCTGTGGAGCAGTCAGATGATATGGGTACTTGTTATACCACGGTCTCCCATAGCTCTACACCTAAATATAGCAGGAAGCTCCGCAACACAATGAAATGGACTACACAAAGTGCAACCTATCATACTTGTGTATAGCAACAGCCATTTGTTAATCATTAAACCGGTCTCTCTTCTGTTTGCTTAACGAAGCTTGGAGAGAAACTCTGGAAATCTAAACACAAAGCATGCAGTGTCAAAAGAACAGGAAGCATACTCGTGGGTTAATGACATTTGTCACTGGTCCCACAGGACTGTCTACACTATAAGGTCTGCTTCTGCAGCATGCATAGAAAGCAGCTCCCCAGCTCTTCACTCTGGCTCAGGTAAATCTGATCAACTGTCAGTTGGTGTTCGGGAAGTCAGGGTTATGGTAAACCTCTTAACACCTATAGCCCGATCATTAACCATTTCCAGTAAGACCACACATGGTCTTAAGACCACAAGCCAATGTTACTTACATTTTCTTCTTCTTTGCTGCACCGAGTTGCACAAGAGTTGCCAAAGCATTTTTCTGGATGTCACAAGACAGTGCTTCATAACACTGAGTATGCCCTACACAGGAAGCAGAAACACAGTTAAAAGCCACCCATAAAAAAGCCCTGCTTGTAAAGCAATCATATTAGTTAACGGTTGAACACACCCTTCTCAAGCAGCTGAAAAATGAAGTTGCGGACTCCAGTTATAAACTGCTTCTCCGAAAACGCTTCTTTTGCTTCCTTTGAGAGGTACCTGAAAATTAACTAACATTAAAAAAAAAAGTTAACATCTTATTATCCTTTTGATTGTCAATTTTCTATTAATTACAAGCAACATTCTCATATAATAACAACATCATTTTAACACTCTGGAAAGTGCAAGTGGTGGACACAAAAATAGCATTACACAGAGCATGCACCTGAATGTTTTATTGCTATTTAACAGGCAATCTTGAGAACCCTAATATTAGAGTAACATTCTGTAATACTATTACTAGTATTAATGTAATAGCTATCTTTAAATGTTTACTTAACATTCCCATACTCTCAAAATCAGTATGTTTTTAAAAGAATACGTTTCACAGATGGGAAATGAGTACCGTCCAGCTTATGCCATATGTCAAATCATTAACAGCTCTCTAATCCACTTATGTTCCCAACAATATGCTGTTGTGACAATTTAGCCTCCAACTGCTGCATATAGTATTATTTCAAAGTCATAGGGTTTCATCTTACTAAATCTGTGGAGAAAGCCGAAGAATTAAAAATAGGTACTGAAGGAATTAAAAGACTCCCCCTAAGCCTAACAGATACAAGATGCAAATGAATTTCTGCACCTGGCCGGACAGCCCACATCAAATGAATTAAGCAAGAACTCCTCCTAAAGAAATAAAAATGAGTCTTGTTGCACACACTCCCTGAGAAATGAGGCTTAGGAATCCACAGCCGGATTCCTAAACTACATTACGGTGTAGTTTATTTACTTTGGTCATTTTGAAAGGTCTGAGACAGAAGCTGAAATTGGGATCCTGGATTAAAGATGGTGTTTAAGAGAGTTTTAATTGCTATTTCTCAACTCCTGCTCTCCCTCTAGCAATGAAAAAACTATTTAGATTGCAGAAGAATCTCCATTCGAATGTTTTTTTCTTAAAAAAAAAAAAAGACAACAATTCTCTGAAAACAAACAAACAAACAAAAAAAAAACGTACCTGATAACCTTCCAGAAAGGGTCTGAACATAGCTGATAAGAAAGATATTACAACACTTCCTTTGTCAGTAGGGTAGATTTCTTGTTGGGTTGTTTGAACTGCATCACATTTTGTAAGCAGAAAACATCCTTCTTCAAAATCCTGGGAAAGGGAAAGCATAACTGATATTTTAACATCTACAGTAGGCGCAGCACCGCCTCCCCCCCAGCCCCCCAAGAAAAAACAACTCACAACACAACACCACTTCTGTTTCTGAAATCAGTTTAAGAGACTTGAACCAACCTTTTCCCATATGCGAAATCCACTCCTAAAAAGGCAGTGGAAATGTGTTCAAAAAAAACAGATGACCCTAGATGCACAAGAGGCCTTCTTAGGCCAGAAAGAGAAGGTCATAGTTGCTAGCATAACTGCCCTCCTGAGCTCCCTCAGGATTTTTCCAGAAAAATACAGATTGTATGGGGGATTTTTATTTTTGGGGAGTTGGTGTTTGCTTTTATCTTATGCCCCTGGTTCTGATAAATGATAATGCAGTTGACTCCCCTGCTGCCTGCATAAGGGTCAAAGCAATGGCCAAAAATTACAAATTAGAGCCACATCTGTGACAAAAACTTTTTCTTGGCAATAGCAGGGGGAAAGAGGGGAGCAGAAGCGGTTGAAGATCTCTTCTTGAAATAACATAGCCCTCCTCCATTCAATATTAGTGAAGTCAGCCATGGTCACCTCCTTGTAGCTTTTTTTAAGGTACCCAAACCAAATATAGAACAAGAGGCAACAATTGCTAATAATGAAGACTACATTAGTTTTTTCAGATCAGCAACTATGCCAATCAGCCTTTAAAAAGGTCTCAATTCTCTTCCATACAAAAATATTTGAGATATGGCCACAAGCCCTGCATATTTTTTTCAGAATTATTCTAATCTCTTTGTTTATGCAGGTAAAGTTACATTTGAATGCCATCATCATATAATTGGCCTTAATATTTGATTAAAAAAAATCAGTTTAAAATGTAACTAAAAACTTGGACTGGTATACTAGTCTATATTGGGTATAACTGTGACAGTCTTACTAGTAAACTTGTGCTCGCCTGCATTTCAAGCTGTTTAGTCCACAGTCAACATTTTATATACCATATATATGTGTATATATATATATACACACACACACACACACACACACACACAATCACTTATGTGCAGAAACACTGAAGCCTTCAGAGTTGAAGGTACTAGAACCACCTTAGGCGCTATACAGACCCTACAGTGTCTACATACATGCAGCCATACTGTGGGTTCATGGAGAGGCAGGCAGGGAGATGTATTTTAACATATGGGGCCCTGGGTGCTGGCCCAGTGCTGTTAGCCCTGCCACCCCTGAGCGTATGCCTGGGGCTGCACCAAGCAACCAATCCAGCCTGCACAGGTAGGACTGTAATTACCTAGGGGACAATAGATACTTAAAGTTGGGAAAGCACATCCTGTTTGCCGAAGATAATGAAGACACACAATAGCTGATCATTAATTGGTATAATAAATTTAGCTTAACTTTTTGAAGGTAGCTCTTATAGTGTCTTTTTGCTAACTAGTCTGCAACACTTTCTAGGTAAACTTACCTCTTCTGCTCTCAATGAGAATCCCTACTTTCTTTCTGTGGCGACAGAGAACCAAGCTTCTGCTGCAGTTTATTTTAATATTTCAGAATAGGGCAATTTTAGACTTTGCTTTTTACAGGAGGCAGGAAGGGAGAAAAATGCACATGCAACTTTGTGGATTCAGACAATATTTGGCAACAAATGACTGACCTCCATTCTGATCTCCTTTTAAATTCTCCCGCCCACTCACAGATCAGCCTGATATCTCTGGAAGTATTTATCACAAAACACTCATTAGGGAGTATGTCATCTGAAATTACATACTCTTTTAGGTCGATAAGAACTATCAGTATTTATGCACACAGGATGATTTTACCTTCAGTGAAATGCCAGGAAAGAAGATGAACTCATCAGAAAAAATATCTCTCAAGAAGCTGAAGAAGCTATAGACTTCCTCTGAAAAAGAAATATTGTGGAGTACAATCATTTAAAAATATATTTACCACTATGTAAGTTTGCTCCTGATTTTAGAGGTACTAGTTACCTCTAAGAAAGAAAACCTGACTTGGCATTAAAGTATGCATAAATATAGACCAGGACATGCCACAGTGGGGCAACAATTACTCCAAGTACTTGATTCAATTGTTTCTAAAAGGAATGAACTCAAGAACTGTGTATGTAGCTTCTCAGCACATGCTATGACATGCTACATAATTGGATGCCATGCAAACTATATATATGTATATATATATAATTTTTTTTTTCACAAGCAGTTTCTGGAAAACACCCAAATACTTCAGAATCAGTTATAGGAAGAAGTAGAATAAAATGGGGAACCAGCTGCACTCCATGCACGTATAAATTCTGTGTAGTTTGTAGCCTAAAATGCAGGCCTACTAATTGCCGACAAGACAAGACACCTACCCAGAGTAAGTCATTTCACACTCCTGTAAAATGAAACCTGGCTAGAGAGACAGGACACACTTCCCAGTATAGCTCCACTTAACATATTTGAAATACAAAAAGTGATTTATGCCACTTTGGCTGCTGTTTTAACCTCCGGCAGTTCCACAATGCACCCCAGAAGGGAAGCAACATAAATGCTCCAAGGCATCTACTTCTAACCCATCCTAGTTTTGTATTCCAGACCTGTGTAAACAGGAGCCAGGATGACCATCCCTTAATTCTGCCCTCTCAGGCAAATACACTAACATACATGTGAGTATATTCGGCACACCACATCCCCCTACGCAGCGGGCCCTCCTCCGTGTGCTGCGGTAACTCGGAGGCAGCTCCCACACACGGCTGCAGAGGGAACAACGCCAGCGGGCCCCGCTCCTTGGGCTGTGCAGTCACCTTTTCGGAAGCTGCGTGTCATCTGCAGGGCCACTGCCACCAGAGACGGGCGCACAAACACGTTCAGCAGCTGGTTCCTGTAGGTCGCACACATGAGGATGGCCAGGGCTCGCTTGAAGACAAAGTCCCCCACAGCCCCATCTTCTGCTCCTGTGTCGTTCAGGACCACATGGCCATCGACAAGGCGAGCGATGTTGGAATGCAGGGCCAGGCCGGATGTGACTGCTTTCCTGGCACACAGGTTATCTAGCAGGAAACAACAACACTCAGGCTGCTGGAAAAGGGAACACATCTCTGTTGAAGTGCACACAAGAGCCTCATCGTAGTAGGAATGGAAGTCATGCACACAAAAAGAACAAAATATGGCAAAGCCAAGATTAGATGATTCCCTTATTTGAAGGGGGACTGATGCCAGCATTAGCCAACCTGAGTACACAGGTATCAGCAAGATGCTTGAATCAACTTTGGGCAAGATTCTGCTTTCAAGAACATCTATGTTGTCATGCAAACTGAAGGAAAATTATCTGAGAAGAGTTGCCCCGGTAGAATCATACAAGGATATCTTAAACAAGTAAATATGAAAGCTGAAATAGTCTAATAGATAAAGCCAGTGTCATCTGGCATGTCAGCTTTTTAAGGACAACTTTGCCATGATCATCATCAAGGAAACAGAGACCAAAGGCATTTCTGACATGGTAATTTTTGAATCTAATACACAGTTTATCAAATCAGTACAAGCTTTGATGACAGGAGGGGAGAAAAATCATGTATTCCATACTCTTTCATCTTAACATAGCTTTCACACAAAATCTCACTGAATTTCATTTGCTCCTCTGGCCTGTTTTGTTCCAGTTTTGCCAGAGCTCTCAAGTTTCCTCAGTGTAATAAGCGGAAGCATGAGAAAGTCATTTTGCAGTTCCTGTTTCTAAAATGAAAGCTTCTAACCATGCAGCAGATATCCTGCCTATATCAACTAACCAGCATGAAAAAAGAGATACTAGCTAGCACTTTGGAGACAGGCAAATACACAGAGTATGTGTAGCTTCTGACTATGTGACATCTCCAAACCTTTAAAATCTACCTATTCTTTCAACTTAACAATAATCTTACCCAAAATCATAAAAAAGTCTATTTCTATGCAAATGATGCCTACAGCAGAACCAAAATGCGAGGTTCAAATCTGCTTAGTTGTTGTCATTTCTCTATTTCATCACCATGTCTATTTTCTGTACCCTGACTGCAAAACTCAACTAAAGCAAAAGCTTAATCATCATTGTCAGGAAAAGGCAAAATAATTAGGCCAACTCTAATGTAGAATCTTACTTTAAACATACCACATTATGCTTAAATATCCCCATGAAATTCTTCCCTTTACCAGCCTGGCAGGAGCAGACCTTGCCTATATTCACTACTGTCAAGATCTCTGGAAGTAGCTGTGGTCCTTCCAGAAATTGTGACAAAGTTCTGTTCAAACCATGGCCTGCCTATATTTCTTTCTGGCAGCAGTGAGAGAGAACCTTGATTATAAATATGACTATGGAAGCACAGATCTGTAGTTTAAACACATCTACAGTGAAAAGCTAAACAATTTGCATTATATAATGATTTTTTTCTTTGTCTGCTTTATCACTTGTATCCTGAGGCTCTACAATGAGTTACCAGTGTCACTTTCATTCACAGACAGAAACTAAATATATATGTATATATATATTTAGAAAGTTGGAAGGAGAATCAACCTTTCAGCAGCTATATATAAACAAACTTCTTGCCTATCACTCTTTTTGAGGATAAAACAGAGTGCAAAAATAAACAGACAAATTATAGCTTTGATTTTATTTCACATATACCTTTGGGCTGGTTCTTTGCCACTTTAGCAATTTATACTACAGTTAACATCAAGAAACAGCATTCTACTAAGTTACTTTTGCATATTGGGTAATTGCCTATAAGTTACATTTTAAAAGGTAGCGTTCGGAAAAACAGACATTAGGTCAATCTCAGCACTCCTTAATATAATTACCTTAACCTTCAGCTTTTAGCATTGTTTTTCCATTTTAAAACCCACTTATGATTCACTACTAAGGAAAACATTATGCTGTAAAGTCACCGTACACTGCTTTGACATAAATATAAGTTAACTTTCATAAACACCAAAGGTAATAGAAGCAATTCTTTCTCAGCCTACCAGGCCACTCAATGAATCCTCCAAAAGACTGTGCTAAGCCTTTAAGCCAAAGGGTCTTTTCTATTAGAAGCTCAAAATCCATGGCTGGCAAATTCTGGAGCAGAACAGCTGCAACAAGCACCCACGGGCTCAAAACCATGTTTTCTATTTGCATGAGCTCCATTTTATAAGCTACATCGCCGACAAATTCTTGGATATCCTCAGATGGCTTCTGGGGCAGATGCCTGAAAAAAAAAAAAAAAAGACTCCGAACTGTAGGATTTAAGCTATATCCACTCATGTGCACATTTCCTTATTACTCCCAAATCCATAACCACTTTACAGTATCTAGCATGTGGAGAGTAATTCTATCCATGTAGTTTGCACCACAGAACTGAAACACAAAGCAAAACTACATTAGCGTCATGACAGTATTTAAAACATAGAACTCTGTACTGGCACTGCACATCTGCTGTTTGCAGAGAAAGAAATACCAGGGTTTACTTTCCTGCATCAAATTGCAAAAGTCGCCTAATCCAGTTAAAGCTAGAGCTTCCTGGTCAAGTAACAACTTGCAGTAACAGAGCAAAAAAGGAAAGAAGAGTGGAATTTTTAAGTGACAAAAACACTAAATTCTCAAAAAATGTGTCTCAGTTTTGCATAGCTCAGGCATCATTGTAATTTTTTAAATGACATTTCTCAACATGATACAAAGCTGCAGCAGGTAACAATTTATTTCAGTAACACCCTATCACATGCACAGTAACCCTGTGCTCAGACATAACTGGTGCAGCCATCAGATCATAGGGAGCAGAGAGACTCAAGAGTACTATTGTAGTTGTTTTATATAGGTGAAGACTAAACAAATGCTTTCCTGTGTATAAGCCATTAAAGTTGTGGTACCTGGGAACCAAATTATAGGGGCATCGATTGATCCTCCCAGATGCTAAGGTTCTGAGTGACACTGGCTGGCCAATGTAAACATGTATCGTCCCAAAATTGTCACTGAGGATTCTTCTGGCTTTCAACAAGCCCTAAGAAAATGGAGAGAATGCAGAACAAATTTTAAAGCTACAGGGTGTGCATACATCCAACCACATTCTGTTCTTCGGGATTTTACATACAGATGTAGATTCTTTGGGCTTTGGGACTCCTAGAAGTTCACATGCATAAAGAGATTCTTCTAAAATCCTCTCATAGCTGATGCTGATGGGAACGAGGTACGTGTCAAAGACTTCACCTTTAAAAAATGGCTCCATCACAATACTGAGAAGACCTGCAAAAACGGAAAAAAAAAAAGAGGTGAATCACTTGTCTTTTTGGAGCAGAGAACAGCAACTACCCTTTAATTTTGAAGACAATTAAAAACTAAATTAAAGATTAAAAGCCAACAACTGACACGCACTGTATTCACTCTCTCCTCCAGCAAGCAGAAGCACAAGATGCTTTCCAAGCTCTAAAACACAAAGTAACGTAAGCAATGCATTCAGATACATCACTTACAAAGTATCTTATCTTCCTTCTAGGGATTCCTTATTTCTAAGGGTTAATTTAAAATATATCTCTGCTAGTGACGGAATGCCTTGCAGTCAAGTACACATTGGGACACCAGGAGAGCAAGAGGTAGAGTGCAACAGACTTGTATTGCCATCTGTTATGGCCTTGAAACTCTAACCACAGTGATTTCCACTACTCGACAGACCTCACCCATTTCCCGCCACTTTAACACCACACACTGTCTGAGGGACTTATGAAGAAATAAGCCACAAATGACAATACTCAAACATGAACAGCTCTGAGTTTTCAAACAACCTACCAAACTTTGGAGTTAGAGTCTTGGCAGTGCGACTTCTAGTCCCTTCAAGAAAAAATTCAATCGGGGCATAGCCATTCTTCAAAAATAAAACAAGACACAAAAAAAAAGGTCAGAACAATATTTCTTTATTTCTCCCCCCTTTTTTTTTGGTTAAATTTTTTAAATGGAAGTCATGCACATCTAATTTCAGTCATCTCTAAGTCTATATGCATTCCATATACCTGCTGCACCACACAGCTAAATTAACAGACATGTTTTGCCTATGGGCACAAAATTAAAAGTAACTGATGAGCTGTGATTTGGTTACTATCTACTGTTGAACTGCATAATTGAGTTCAAGTGTGTCTTTGCTTGCATCGATTCCAAGGGAAAGATTCATTTCCTTAGATCACAGTGAAATTTTCATTCATGTACCTACAACATCATGAATATTTCACAAGAATAACTGCAACAGAGTATTTCTTAAACATATATTTTGATAGCTCAGTAATTTATTTACCCTTAGCATCGTTTTTACATATTCAGCAAAAACAGTCCAATAGAGTCTGTTCCCACTGAAGGAACGTCGCATAAAAAAGGCGCCTCCCCTTCGCAGCAGCTCACCAACTATTTTCATTCCTAGGAAATCTGAAAAAAAAAAAAGCAAAAAAACAAAGAACAAAACCACACAAACAAAATCCACTGATTAATATCAGCCAGCAAGGACAACTAGTTTCCCTAAAACACTGATTTAATTACCAGAATAAAGGAGAATCAAGGATTCTACTGTTATAAATGCCTTTACGTGCTTTCAAAACATCAAGCAATACATAGTTAGACATGATTGATATATAATATGTTTTCAAGCTTTTTGTACACAGCATACACTTAAAACAATTTATTTGGGTAATTTAGATGGTTGGATTTCAGTCCTAATGAAGACAGCATTTAGTTCATTGTCTCACTTATCTTCAGAAATGTTGATTACCCTTCAATACATCCTAAAAGACACAGAAGTTAACCAATTAACTACATTGTATACAGTTACAGCACTCGAGATTCTGTCTCAGCATCTTTTGAGTGGTGGTGGAAAGCAGACCAAATCAAATCATTTAAACTTCTGGCAGTTTTCTAGTTTCACATGGCCAGGGTCAACATTTAACTTGCCAGAACCACGCAATACCAACAACTTTTTAAGGAATGCACTTAAAACAAGAGTCTACCCAGAAGTTGCCATTTGCTGCTTCAGGCCTCTTGTCATCTCAAACAGTGAAATATCTGAGAACAGAGATTCCCTTGGTAAATGTGTCTATTTCCAGCTGCAACACTGACACAATTGCCTTGACAATCTGATATAATTTTATGGTATACACACACGTGCTTTATATATGTGTGTGTATATGTATGCACACTATTATTATTTACATAGTATGTTATTGCATATATAGAGCAACATGTTCTTGTGTGTAAATATAGCTCTTCTAACACACATAATAACTTCCACCTCAAATACCTCAAGCCCAGCCCACCCCAGCTCCTCTGTGCCTTGAACGTCACTTGCTCCTCGTTCCAGGCTGTGCAACAGAAATGCAGATATGAGCACCAGCTGGGTCCCAGCTAACGCAGCACCACATGGTGGTAACATAACACCAGCAACTATTTACCTCACTTTAGCCAATCCCCATGTTTCTGCTTGTATGGAGACTCCCCTGGAGTCAAGCTACGAGAGAAGAGGCACTCTTCACCGAGATCAGGAGGGTATCCCTCCACTCGGCACAAGTACCACTTTGAACGCGAGTTTGCGTACCACATCTTGTGAGTCGAGGCAGTAAATAAGACTAGTAAGTAAGTAAATAAGATCAGGAAGTGCTGTGTGTGTTTCCACCAGACAGAGGACTCTAAAAATGACGCACATACGCAGCAATGTAACCAGGCTGCAAAATCCTAATTCTGAAGAATCTTGACCCCAAACATCTAAAAACACATATATATACATATATATATATATATAATCTCTGTAAGCTAGCTCAGTAGTATCTTAAAGAGTCTTGAGACACATAACTAAACCAGGTATTCGTTTAAAGCAGGAATCAGCTGAGGAGCCCAGTGGTAGCTACAACTGCACATAAGCAATGACGTGACAGGTCAGCAGATGCAAATTCCTTAAAAAGGCAGATGTGAGACAGCAATTTCTGAATTTATCAGAAGCTAATGTATATTCTGGTAAAGAAAGACAAGATACCACGCAAACACAAAATACCACCAATTCACAGATCAGAAGAATCTTGTCTTCTCCACCTAACATATTCCTCCAGCTTCAACTATTTTTCTATGGCTAGACCTAACTTGTCATTTGCAAAAGAAAAATACAGTGTAGCATCCACCCTTGAAAATTTTTCAGCCACTGCTCCAATCTATTCTAGAGCATCAAAAGAGTGTTAATTTCAGAAGTAAACCCTAAATCAGCTCTGTCCTCATTTATTTTAATGAGAGAAAAGCTAGGCTTAATATGCACCTGAAAAACCTACCCTTAACTTCTGGCTATTACAGGTGCTTACTTAATAAAAGATAGCTCCCAAATTTTGTGGCATTTTCATGCAAGCTCAAAGCGAAGTTCCTTGTGCCAAACAGCCCTTACTGAAATGGATAGCGACTTGGATATGGACAGCAACAGAATTTTCAAAAGCTTTTCCACTGAAAACAATGGAATCCAAGGGAGATATTCAAAGACATATTTGGAAAACAAATTAGAGACAATTACTTAGAGTAACTGGCTACTAGATCACTTGCTACAGATTTTCTGGATCCTGAAAACATTGTTAGAGAACATACTTGCCTATTCCCGCAGCAATGACAGGCAGAGCCAAGTCGTATGTATATAGCAAATAAGACAGCATCAAAAAATCTATGTAGCTTCGGTGACTGGGCAGGAGTACAACAGGATGCTCTTGAATGGCTTGTTGCAACTGAAAAATAAGCCCAAACACAACATTGTTCCAATACTTACAGACTAACTGTTGAAATCTGCAAACACAGACCTCTGCGTGGCTCAGGAAAAACAGAGGTTGATTTTTTTTTTTTTTTTTTGAGGGAGACTTCTCCATCTGCATGCTCTAAAACCTTGTTCAGTATAGTCACAGGAAATTTTGGAGCTACAGTTTCCATAACTGCAATGTGTGTGTGGTTCACAAGCACCACAGGACTCACACGCAGGGGCCACTTCATTGCATGATAGCACAACTCAAACCCCGTTGTGGGAGGAGAAACCCCACGGTGATTGTCAGGGCTGAGACCACTAAGTCTTCCAGGGAGAACATTGCACCCTGCTGCAAATGAAACAAGGGGACAACAGCTCCCCAAGGAGCTAAGGAAATCAACCCCTGCAGAGCTGGCAAAACAATGACATTTTTCTTTTGGACAATTGTTTATCTTTAATGACAACTCAAGAGAGAAAAAAAAAAACAGACGAAAATAGGACTTTTCACATTGCTTGTGACTGCAAGACCATAATTATTTCAATCCTATCAAGAAGTCTTAGAAAGGGTTCCCAAGCACCAAAATGAACAGCAGCATTCTTAAAAGAAAAAACTAAAAACTTTTTTTTTTAATCTTACAAATATTGCATTCATTTTTAAACATATTGCAAGTGTAGATCTATCTAACCTCTGCAAAAGAGGCAAGATGTTTTCTATAATGCCTCCCTGTTGTAGGCAGCATCTGGAAATAGTACAAGAAATCTTGCTGACTACTTGTGTCCAAAATACTTAACAGCAACTACCCTTCTCTCCTTTATTGTTTTCTAAGCAGTGCAATAAGAATCTTTTTAATAATAACACAATAATAAGGGGTTTTTTTAGTGAACTTTACATTTTTATATTCGTTATTTGGAGTGAAGACTGAAGTCTTTCCCTGAGCAACTAGTAGGAAAATATTATAGCTTTTTTTTCCCCCCTCTTACGCAGTACTCACTCTCTGCATTCCTTCTTCATTCACACAAACTCTCTGAAAAAGCCGCTTAAATATTTTGCTCAGAGTAAAGGCAAAGAATCTGACTGCTCCTAATTGCATATTGTGGCCCATCTCATCCAGAATTTCCATGGCTTCTTCTTGAATAATATCAGGTGACTCTCCTGTCTCTTTTGCTAACTAAAGAGAAAGAAAAACAAGAAAGTGGTCAGAAGTCAACCTCTGCTTCCCCCCTCCACACACACTGCTCCATGTGCCACAGCGATTACAGCGAAACTAATGCAACAGTAAGTTTTATTCTATGTGACAGACAGGCACCTTACCTTACTCAATCTGCTCCACATCAAACAACAAAAGACAGACAAATTAAATCTGTTTCAAGTCAAGAAAAAACTTAGATATCAATGACGGGGCAGCGGAGCAGCACATTTTTTCCCCACCAAATGTTTTAACCTATAGCAACTTCAGAGGATGTTTAAGATAGTGTTTCACATATTTTTTTTTTTGGTGTGAAGAAGGTTGTATGCAATTTTCTTCCAGTGGTAAATAAAACAAAGCCCATATTCACAAAGACATTCACAAGGTAAAACAGAGAAGTGCATTTGAACTACATTTTCAGACTTGCCTAAAGAATCTCAACCCTATCACGCTTGAATTTCTTTATAATGCATTACTTTGGCAATGTCTAGCTGAAATGCATACAAAACACTGCCCCTACCAGCTTTGCATATCAATGTTCTCCTACTGTTGCTATGCACATTTCTTTCTAAGTTTCTTAAAACGGACTTAATGGCCGTTTCGCTTTCATGATACTCAATCTAAAAATGTTTAACTAAAAAGCTGTTCATCTACTGTTTTGTAATGAAGAATATGTATTTCATTAACCATTGAGGAGGAGAAGGAGGGAACAGGAATGAAAGGGGAAAAAAAAAAAAAAACACCTTTTAAATAAAATATTTGTTTTGGCCTCGGTTTAGAGGCCAGCACTACTTACCCCTTATTTTTATTTAACAACACATAAGAAATTCTATCTCCTACAGCTGTCTCCACATATTTCCAAGCACCACTTTACCATCATATCTGTTTTAGTAAGTGCATAAATTTTCATCCCAAATATTTTAATGTGTAGCTATGATTATTTTAAAGAAGCTAAATTTTGCTTCCATCTAAGCCTAAGATAATCAGTCTCTCTTAGGAAGCAATAAATTATTCCTGTTATTCACTAGGGGAAGAGGTTGTTCTCATTCATCAGTAAAAGGTTTATCATTTGGTTGATCTTTTGTGAATTAAGCGCACAGGCACTGCAGAGCAAGGCACTCATTCCCTAAAACCTGGGATGAAAAAATCACACTGGCCATGTACAAAAGCTAAAACAAACACATGCACTTTATTTCACACATTGAACACCCTCAGCCTCAGCACATTGTCACAAGAATAAACTCTATGATGCTTGTGTAAGCTAAGTAAACAGTCCAGACAGGAGGCATACTGATCGTACATGGTTGGGCATGTTGCCCAATATAGTCCTTATTAAATACTTGCACTAATCTCAGGTTCAAAGTTGAGAATTAGACTGCAATGGCAGGACTATTACTACCCTTCAACTATTTGGTGCTTAGTTGAAAATTTCCCATCTTTTTTTGACAAAAAATGTCACTTCAAAAAAAAAAAAAAGTCTTTCTAACAAATGCTTTATTGCTTCCAAAGTTGAAAGTCTTTTTTTTTTTAATTTCATATTACTTAGCTCTTTTTCACAGTGACAATAGGACTGTTTTGTAGAAAAACGCTTTAATTTGTCATGTCATAACAAATTTTGATATGCCAGATGTAATACTGATTGTTAAAAAAAAATAAAAATGATTCTGGCAGTCACTTACTCATGCCTAACCATCTTACATACTTCTGCTGACCTGGAATACTTTTTCTAGAACACTGCAAATAGCAACTCTGCTAATTAACACACTTATGTCTTTCATTTCAACTCAGTGGAAAACAGTTTGAATACAAAATGTTTTACTCTTTACGAAGTAGTACCTATCCTTAATCTTAAATATTAAAACATGCTTATATATTAGAGTTTATAAGCCAAAGAAATCAAGTGAAGTTTAACTGTGTGAAACTTAATTCTGATTTTAGAGGACGAAGCATTTATGACTGATTCATAAATGTAACAGCTTATAAAATTACTACAAGACACTCTTGAAGTACATAAATGTCGACTAACAAGGAAGATACTTATGTCCTTCAGAAGGCTGCTTTATCTCAAGGATTGTGGAGGAGAGAGGAAAAAAGTCAAGCCCCCTTGATATGTTACACAGTGAATTGTCATATATTCAAAACACTGCCACATGAATAGTAATCTAGCAGCTTCAGTGGCAGCTCTGTGGTAAATCACTATTTGTTTTCCCTGCCCGAAGAGCGTAGCTCTCAAGTTACTGATTTATTGGATTGTCTTTCAACCTAGAGCCATCACGTCTAACAAGGTCAGCAATAATTTTTTCCCCCACTTCTATCACACAAAGTTTGCCTGGGCTCACTCTGCTCTCTTACAGGTCAGCATTCAGACTCACCTGCTTGATGACATATTGAACTTGCTCTGACTGGAGAACAGCACTTTTAATTACATGTGGTTTGCACGGTGAAAGCTCTTTGTATAACACGGGTGTATAGCATTTCATTGCATATCTCAAGTCACTGGAGACCCGTCTTTCCTCCAAGATGTCTTCAAACTCATCTCTTTTATTTGATGTGAGCTCTTTCTGCTAGGAACATACAAATAAAGAATGAGACACTGTATTGAGCTATTCAATGGTCTGCTTGGCTAAAACAGCAAAACAATGGTGTGCAATACTTTTGCCATGTTTGTTTTTTAGATTTCCAAAATATCTGCATCCCACACTCTGAGGGCATGAACAAACACTACCTGCTTGGAACAATGCTGCAATTAGAAATAAATTAACCTCCAGTCCAGCCAAAAAAAAAAAAATCAACTTTCCAACTGCAAAGATCCCCAGTTCACTCTATACCACATTACCTAATCCTGTCCGACAGGAAGAAGTCAAGAGAATACCTACACATTCAGAGTTAAAATGCCTCGCCTCCAGCCTCTTCATGATTAAGAAGCACTAACTAAAGAACCTTTGATTCCAACCATTGCAATTGCAAGATGACAATGAGATGAATGGCATTATGAAAATAGCAAAGAAAAAAAAAAAAGAAAAATCATGATGCATGCTGCTTTAAGCTGCATCTGGCACATGGGTGGTCCATGCTTGCTTTCACCAAGCTCAGATATAAGGTATAAAAGCACAGCCAGATAGGAACAAAACAACAACAAAAAGGCAATTACCAGGCTAACTACAGGTGATTCATACAGCCACCTGGAGCTAGGTCCTACCATACTGCAACACAGTACAAAAACAGATGAAAAGAGAACACAGCCCCCAGCAGTCCACGTCACTACGAAGCAGAAAAGCTAGCGGCATATCCTGAACTAGTGGCGGATCAATCCCACTGCAGAAATCTCCATGATCAATCCCACTGCAGAGATCTCCATGATAAAACTCTTCCACCAGTATCTCCTACACTGGAAAGAGAGGTCTCCTATTATCTCCTGTGTGTTAACACCACAGTGTACATGAATAACTCCATAGTCTTTCTGAAACTGAACTGGCATTCATCTAAACTCCAACACAACAGCAACAGCCACAGGCAACTGCATAGGTCAGGCTCAGTGAAATACAAATATAAAGGCAATTGTTCTGATTAAGCACATTTTTAGAAGACACTGAAATAAAAAGGCTTCTGCCTTCCCCCATCTTGAATGGCAGCACAGGCGTTCCCTCCCATCCATTCATTCTCTTCCTATTAACAACCTACGCAGAACCAGTCCCAGCCTACACACTGAGGGACAAAACATGTTATTTCACTGGCTCTTACAGTGACATTTTCTGGTCCCAAGTTAAAGGGCCGGGCCAGCTAACGCACACAAACACTGGAAGCAGATAAGAAATACTCCCAGCAGCAGCAGCTGGGCACTCAGCCTTGGGAGAGAGTCACATTTCACTGCTAGCTGACCATGGCCATATCAGCAATGCTAAAAACAGCTGACAGGTTTAAAATAAGCATACAGCAAACATTCAGTTCCTGTCTGGTCATTGGCAACAAGATTTGGTGCAGAAATATCACCACTTAAGAACCACAAAAGAAATCTTTCAAAACCTCAGCTGTATCAAAAGCCAGTTTTGTTTTCTTAGAGAACACAATTCCTGCTACAACGTGTGACCTTTTCATATTTTCCCCATTTTTTCATTTTTCCCCATCTGCTTTACAGAGCGTAAGCAGATCAGGACACCATCTTTCCACCATAGCAGAATTTGATGGCTTCTAGCTTTCTAGCCATCTAGCTTTTCCTTCCACTGTTACACTTGAGAAAACTGTCCTGCAGCAACTACAGAACCAGTCTCCCCAAGGGCTTCAAAAATAATCCGTTTCTTAATTTAAAAGTGTCAGGCTTTTTTCAGGTTGGTTTTGCATTATTATTTTCAACGTTTCTTCTTCTGAAGCTAAATCATTTGATGTTCTCCAAGAGCCAAGTAAGCTAAGAGCACATGTGAAGACTGGAAATAACTCGTATAACTCTTCTGTTGCCACTGATATCTTATGTCAATCCCATTGATCAAAAATAAAGACAGCAAAGAAAAAAAAAATCACATCCTAAGTCAGAATAGTATGAAAAAAATATCACCTAGTTCTACCCTATACAAACGCTTCTGCCAGTCTGCAATAAGAAATCGCTCAGGAAATCCAAGCTATGCTTATTTCTATTGCCAAAGTTTAAACCCTGTTACATGCAAGTACGTGAAAAGCAAAGAAACCCAGCCCTTGGCTCTGGTATTATTAGCCACATCAGCAGCCACCGCCTGCTATAGCCACTCCAAAACACGCCTTTCACGAGGATTTTTTCAAAGGCCAGAGCATATCGAAAAGCCACCGCTCTGCCACTTTCCTTCACTTTTCCAGATTTAACGTGTACGTAATCTCTTCACGTATCTGTCATTATTTTCTTGTCCTGCCCTGAAGTTGCACGGGCGGGAACCAAAACAAGCACACTTTACCTGTCACTAGAGGAGAGGAATCCCCCCTCATACAAAGGCAAACTGCTGCTTCAGCTCCAACCACAGACAGAGCAAATATTCAGAAAATACACTATGGGAAATGCAGGAGTGAGAAAATCCAGGTAGGTTCATGGTTGCTATGGAACTGGTTAACTACAAGAATAAATCTAGCAGGATCGCAGATTTTTCCTTTGAAAACAATAAAATGATGCACTTGGGATACCAGCAGAGAGCCAAGGATATACAGCAGAGAAGTTCAGGAGTGTTCCCTGCAATCAGAGATTATTTCCTCCCCTCTCCCCACCTCCCTGTACCATTCAAATCCAGCGAGGTTTAGTATCTATCTCACAGCCCAACCTCCTTGCTTGAGGCTGGTAAAGGAGCTGCAATAAAAACGAAGGTCAGCGAAGTCATTCCAACTGTATCACACGAGAGAACCCGTTTTGTCAACTCCAACCTGATGACAAGTTTCTCAGGGCAAATTTAATTTTAAACTTAGGAACAACAACACATTGTGCATACGCTGGCCAAGAAGTTACAACAGACACATCCACTGGAGATAAAAGATGCAGTTAAAGGAGAGTGAGTCACTCTCATTACAGGTGTTCCTATTCCGCAAGGCAGCGCAAGCTCTGGCTTCTAAAATGCTCTGCAGACACCTGCTACAGTTATGGAGCTAAACAGAGCTGCACACAGGCCTTTGGCAAGAGATCTGTTTAAATAGAAGCTCCAGGGTTCCTAGGTTTTTTTTAAGAAAAGACTAGTATTTTACAATGCACTTCTGCTGAGAAGGCACCTGTGCAGGATCAGAAACTTTAGTTAATTTAAATCTGGACACAATGCAAAGGTGACCAAATTCTGTCTGTTTCATACCCAACCCACTGTATTTGCGAGTTTTGTACCTGCAAAAGATGAATCTTTCCCTAAACTCTCCAGTTATAATATCCACTTGACCAGACCTAACTTTCCATCTGAATTCCCCAAAATAAAATAAAACGGAATAGCAGGGAAGAGGCCAGCGCCTGCAGAGGCCAGGCTAGGATACCGGGTAACCACCTGCCCGGGGTTACCTCAGCAGACCTCCCAGGCACTCGTCGTTACCAACCGGCCCACGGCCGGAGCACGACCTGGTACGGGTGGGACATGAGGCCTTTGCCCTGCGGCGCTAACGGCCCCGGGCAGAGCCCCGGAACTCCCCACCGTGTCCCGACCGCAGTACG